TTTTTTTTTTTTTTTTTTCCGTGAGGGGGGAGGGGGGGAGTTGTGTATGTGGATATAGATGTGCTCGGTGCTTCCTGTGTTTGTCCTATTTTTTGACCCGTAGTCAAAATATGCCTGATCTTTTTGGAACATGCTTCCTTGCATTCTATTATTTGAATGCACAAAGGAACACAAGTTAGAGTGAATATATAGGACCTCTCATAAACTTTATCAAACTTATTGCCTGTCACTTTCATGTTAGTAATTGTAGGCCATCTTTAATATCCAATTGCAAAGGTTGAGGACACTGGGATCTTTTTCGCATAAAGGACTGATACATATTCTTTATTAGCTTTATCTTTTGGTTCCGATTTGGCTATGAATGTCTTACATTCTATAATTACTTCTTTTCCTTCGCAGAAATCTGAAGCTCCCCTCTAAACGACCTTCTATTGTATGTGAAAATTGTCTTTATTCACTGGAGAAAGATAAGCGAGTGAGAGCCTTTCATATAATGGACCCAAAAGGGATTCTGGAAATGCTTCTAGTTTTCCTTGAAGAAAGAGGCAACGGAGAGGTCATTCCTCCCTCCTTTGACAATTTGAAGGTACTTTTGACTTAAAGGGGAAGGGTTCCCCTCCTATTTCTCCATGATTGCCTAAACGTAGTTTGATGTTAGTTACCAGAACCAAATATCGTTCTTATGCCTTGCCTTTGCATCCCATGTTCATCTTGTAGGAGGATTCTGAAAGGATTATGCCTCATCTTGGAACTTGGAAAGGTCATTCTCTAACAAAGCGTACTGGTGTTTATGGAGCAACAATTACTGAAGCAGAAACTACTGCTGTTCTTGAAATGAACAAGGATGGCCAGCTAGTTCAGGTTTGTTAGCTCCTTGCAATGAGTTCCTTATATGCAAAGGTTAGAGTAATCGTCACCAAACTGCCAATATCCATGAAATGATTCACACTGCCCATTTCCCCTTGGAACACGAATGGAGCCTCTCTCTCCCCCCTCGCCTTCTTTGAAAATACAAATTCAAAACAGTTAAATGATACGAGGAATATGCTTTCTGACCAGATGCTCTGCTCTATATGAAGCACATATCTTGGTAGATTGGAATTATCACCACAAGTTTAGCTCAAATATGGAGGGCAGAACATCATTGATGTCATTTTGTTGTTGCTCCTGAAGGAGGATAAATAACACTAACTAATGCTTCTCAACTCTCTCATAATTTTTGGTTTTCAATCCTTAAGCAAAAAACTATACATCTCTTTTTGGAGTCTCTCAAGTTATTTGTCCAAAAAAATAAGGAGGGTGGGGAAAGTTCTCATCTTTTTCATTTGCTTTGATTATTTATGTCTACTTTAGGCTTTTGGTGTCTGAAATGAATAACTTTGGTCTTTGTTTCATTTAGTGCTTACCTTTTTACTGCCAATTAATTTTCCTTTTATTTCCTTCTTGAATCAAGGATATCACGTCTACCTCTGGTGCAAGTAATGTTACAACCAATGTACATTGGACCGGTACCATATCCGAAAACCTAGTGACATTCGACGGTGGTTTCCAGCTTACTTTGTTACCTGGGGGCATTTACATGGGATACCCGTCCGATGTGGCCAACAGTGTGCAAGAATCCAAGTCATTTCATCTGGAGTTATGTTGGCTTGAATCGCCTGGCAAGAGACAAAGACTTATTCGCACTTACGATGTAGAGGGCCTGGCTGTTTCATCTACATATTTCATTGAGTCCAAAATCTGAGTTGCTTTTCCTGATTCAAAGAGAGTTGCTTCAGGCAGCATATTTTGCTCCTACATTAATCTTTCTTCTGGATACAATTCACCATTATAGTATCAATTGCTTCTTTATATAGAAGATACAATAGAAGATAAGAGTAATTGTGTCGCGTTATTTTTATCTATTGGTGCTGACAAATGCTCTACCCAATGTATATAGAATTCCCCAAGAACTTAAGCAATAGGGGGTTCAATGAACTTTTTTGCGTCGTGGAAAACGAAGAATTGCATTCACTATTTGTAAAGATATCCATTTTGCATTCACTATTTGTAAAGATATCCATTTTGCATTCACTATTTGTAAAGATTTCCAGTGGAAGCCATTTCCGTTTAACCTCGAAAATCTGTTGTACAGTCAATTGCAATATTCTACTCCCCGGTACACAATAAGTGACTAATTTGCCTTGGGCGCACTCATTAAGGAAATACTAAATTCTATACAAAAATAGTTAGTGTGACTAAAGTACCCTTAATTAAATGTTGTAGCATAGTTATAGTAGCACTTCTATTCCCAAATGTGAGGAGTAAATGACTTTTAGGGATAAGTACATAAGGGTAATTTTGGAAAAACAAATTAAATTTTTTCTTGATTGTATAAATGTATACTTATTTTGGACCAAAATAAAAAAATAAATTGGTCAATTATTGTGGATCGGAGAAAGTATCTCACAATCTGCATTCTTTTTCCCTATCTCTTCCACCTATAGTAAACTTCCGAACTTCCATCCTTTTTGTCAAGAGTGCCAAATGCAAATGGAAGGGCATTGATGTGTAACTTTGTTCATTTGGATTGTAAAATTTAAGGTCATTTTACTTTTACTTTTTCCGGTTCATAATAAGTGACGTTTTGGTACTTTTATTTTAGTCTAAAATAATGTCTTTTTACATAATTAAGAAAGAATTAATTTTATTTTTCCAAAATTTGCCCTTATTTATATATCTCAATGTATCAATGTAACAAATAATTAAAGGTAATTTAGTAAATACATTTTTTTAGGAGTTCGTATTTTTTAAGGGGTGTGACAAAGGCTAAAAAGTCAACTATTATGGACCAGGACGTACTAGATTTGGCTTGTCAAGTGGTGCTATTGGCAATTGAGACTTTAAGGACCTTTAAGGACACGTTTAAGGACCTGTTTGGCCGTAGATTTTGCCAAAATAAACTTGATGTTTGGCCATAGATTTTGTCTATATTTTAGTAAAATCCCCAATCCCAAAACCAGCTCAATAGGTAGTTTTGGACTAAAATCTTTACAAACACTAATAATATACATGTTTTTTCGAAATAAATTTGAAAAATATATTTTGAAAACGTATGTCCAAACATATTTTTATCATCAAATTAAAATTCACCCAAATTAAATTTTTCAAAATAAATTTGAGAACCTACTCTAGGGTGAAAGGTGCTTGATGGTGAAATGACTCCTCAAGTTGGCAACTTGCCTCTTGTCAAAAACAATGCTTATTTGAGTTGTTGGAGCAAGGACAAACTATCACTTTATTTTTATTGAACTGCAACTTGCTTGAATCTTTTTGCCTTATTTATTGCAGTTGGGCCACGTGTACGTTATTTGACCCCTCGAATTTATATCGTAGCTAGAGTAACGTATAACCGACATGTTTTCCTTTTTTGTTTCATAAAATTATCAGAGAGAAAAAATTATAGTAATTCTTTTTTAACGAATTTCATGATATTCATATCTCAGATTTTCTTTTGAATCAGCCGACTCTCATCTAATTTTCCAATTCTTACTCCCCAAATAGAAATCATTTGCTTTTTCTTAACAAATTAACTTCTAAGCACGAACAATATCAAATATTTTTTAATTGTTAGGTTACTTAAAAGCTAATTACATGTACTATTAGACAGCAAACATTGTATGTAACCTATAAAAGATGGTAAATGATTTATTACAACAAATACAATCATGTTTTTGGTATAAAAATTGTTTAAGCTTTTTTGCATATATAAGATAAATTCTTGTCTAAATAAAATATTTTAGTAATAATTAATCTACTTCTCCCAAGTGGCAGTTGGTAGGTAAACAATTCATTGTATATACACTGCTGTAGAGTAGATGTGTAGGGAGTACTCTTTATTTGGACTCCTTTTTGCCCACTAGCCTGACATTCTTATCCGTTTATTGACAACTTGCAAAACACTTCATTAATTAATTTATTCTTCTCCTCTAATATACTATCTAAAATCTTAGTGGACGTTTAGACATAAGAATTGTAAAATTTTAAAAAAAAATTAAGTGAAAATGATATTTGAAAATTAGAGTTGTGTTTGGACATGAATATAATTTTGAGTTGTTTTTGATGTTTTGTGAGTGATTTGAGTGAAAATTTTGAAAAATAACTTTTTGGAGTTTTTTAAATTTATGAAAAATTCAAAAATACATCTTCAAGTGAAAATTGAAGATTTTATAACCAAATGCCGATTTCGAACAAAAAAAGTAAATTTCTTTTTATGTCCAAACGTGCTCTTAGTCTAGTGAACAATTCAAAGAATTTACTTTAATACTCTATATTTCTCAATAAAATGCTTCCTTTATGTTTTCTGGCTAAATTTTAATTATTATAGATTTGGCTAAAAACTTTTTAAACCAATAAATCTAGAATTGTAGTTAACCTATGTAAGATAGTAAATCCTGCGCTACTAATAGTTGTGCCAACTCCCACCAATCGAAAATAAGCTAGTCTGCCAAACACTTCTATTAGGAACAATTTGGACAAATAAACAGTTTTTCAAGAATTATTGGAAGGATTTGTGAAAAAAAAAAATCGGGATTGTTATAGTTTTCTTCCTTTTATATTCTTTTAAAAGAAATTTCATGAGTGTTTGTGAGTAGAAAAAGAACTTCATTAGTTTTTTTCCTTTCAAATTTCCTTACTTCATTATATATATATTTTTAAATCATCCTTAACCAGTTCTTAAATTTAAGACCCGACAATGCAATCGCAAACCTTTGATAGTGAATATTTTTACTTAAGAAAAAATAAATGTATATTATTTTTTTTCGGATTTTTTTTAGAAAAACTCGCGGTCGCTACCCTTCGAGACGCACTGGATAGTCTACTCATTGTGCAATGTAAATCGAACCAGTCATATGCAAGGAGCTCTGAATAAGAAGGCGAGTGCTGAGGGGAATCGATCCCATGTGGGCAACCCCTCACCCAACCAATTTGTTATAAATTATCTTTTTAAGTACATTAAGAACCTGTTTGGCCATAGATTTTGCCAAAATATATTTGAGATTTTTTGGCAAATACATGTTCGGCCTTAGATATTATCTACATTTTGTCAAATTCCCAAAACCCAAAACTCAAATCCCAAAATAAGCTTTTGCCCCAAAATATCATTATTACATTATTTTATAATTGCCCTAAACTTTTGTATTTTGTAAAAGAGCCCACCATTTATTATTTTGTAATAATGTTGTTTCGTCTTCTCGGCCATCTGATAGTATATTATGTAGTTCATTATAAAAATGATCATTTTGTACCAAATTTATTTATGTTCAGGACTATAGTCTGCGCTAATATAATGAATCTTATTGATAAAGGTTTTGTTGGATATTTGTGATAGTTTTTAAAACTTGTGGGTATAAGTCATGTTTCATGTTTTTTTTTTTAAAAAAAGTAAAATATATTTTGAAAACTTATGTCCAAATACATTTTTATTTTCAAATCAAACTTTATCCAAATCAAATTTATCAAAATAAATTTAGGAATGCATGGCCAAAGGCTAGCCAAGATAGTAGGGAGAAATAAGCAGCCAATCTAGTAGGATTTGTACAAGGTAGGAAATGCAGCGGGAAAAGAAAGGTACAATAAGCAAAGCAGGTCCCAGCAGTAATTACAGCATTGACGAATGACGACTGCAGTTCCCCCATCATATAGCCAATATATAAACGTCACAACCAAAATCCAAAAGCATAACAGAAAAAAACAACTCCAAATTATAATCTCTTTCTTCTTCACTGAAAATAAATAATTGCTCTCATCACACTTCTGTTTCAGCTGATAGACTTTTTTAGGTAAAGACTGAAAATGGGGGAAACAGGGGGAGCTTCAGCGATGTCGTTTCCAGCTTTAACAATCCCGCCTCGGCCCTCGTTCGAATCCTTTTTAAGTAACTTGCCTTCTTTTAGCCCAGGACCAATGTCCCTAGTTTCCAGTTTCTTCTCCGATCAGAGCCCTGATTCATCCGATTATCCTTCTTTCTCCCAGCTTCTTGCCGGAGCTATGGCTTCTCCACTTGCAAAGCAGGATAATTCTGGAGAAGGAAGTCAAAAGAACTCAGGGTATAAGCAGAATCGGCCCATGGGCCTTGTGCTGGCCCAATCTCCTTTGTTCATGATTCCGCCTGGTTTGAGTCCTTCTGGATTGCTTAATTCACCTGGGTTTCTTTCTCCACTACAGGTAATTATTCACTCAATTGTTCATTTTCACTTGCAAAAATAGCCAAAGATTTCGCCTTTTTCTGTTTTAGTTTAGTGCTGTTGATACTTCTGTAATTCAACTAATGCTATGCTAAGTCTGTCGTAATATCATACTTTTGTTACAGTCTACCACTGGAAAACTGCTTCCAGGCTGCAAAAAAAAGTTTCTTCCTTTGGCTGGATTTATACAACAACAGCCCAATATTATGACAAAGCGTAAATACCCAGTATTATGTCAAAGCGTGGGGTCTGGGAAAGATAGGGTGTAGGATAGATAGGTTGTTTTCAATAGGCCCTCGGCTCAGGAAAGCACAAGCGCCACATTAATAAAAATATAGACAAGAAGGGACAGTATCAAAAAGCCATATAAAAGCAGAATAAAAACAAAAGATAGTAAGATGATCAACAATGAAAGAAAACAACGGCTAGTCATAAAAACCTACCAACAGAAAGCAAGATTGTGTGCCAATACTACTGTTATGAAATGGAAGAAAGTATTCTTGAGATGCTCACACACACTTGATATAGTATTAGAGCAGGCAAAGGTCCTCGATTCAAGTCTTACCGTTATCACTTATCCATTTATCCAACAAAAATGAAGAAAATATTTTAGATTCCTAGCAGATTTTTCTTCATTGTTCGACACCTTTGAGGTGTCCCACTAATTGGTAGAGCCTGTGAATTATGATGCATCCAATGGTTGGTTACAGAAATAGTTAAACTAAAATGTAATATAATTTCAGTGGCATCCTGTGGTTACTTATGGTATTTCAATTTGTTTGCAGAGTCCTTTTGGAATGTCACATCAACAGGTTCTAGCACATGTTACAGCACAGGCTGCATTTTCTAATTCTTACATGCAAATGCAAGCCGAAGATCAATGTTCGTCTCAGGCGGCTTCAGCAGAAGCATTAGGACATGAGTTGACGACTGAGCTAGAGGAAACTTCTTTGCAGCTAAAAGAACCTTCACAAACTAGAATGGACAGCGAACCATCGGACAAGCCGGGTAAGAAATTTGAACTGCAAGAGTTTTCTCAATCTGAGAACAAGCCGTCTTTTGTTGCTTTCGAAAAACCAGCTTGTGATGGTTACAACTGGAGAAAATATGGCGAGAAGAAAGTAAAGGCTAGTGAATGCCCTCGGAGCTACTATAAGTGCACAAATCTCAAATGTCTAGTGAGGAAGAAAGTTGAGCGATCTGTTGATGGTCACATAACTGAGATCACATATAATGGCCGGCACAACCATGAACTTCCTCAACCAAACAAACAAAGGAAAGATGGTTCCGCTTTGGATGGTTCAGACTGCTCCGAAGTTCGACCTGACACCCGTACACATGATTGGCCAGTAAAGAATAATAGCTCAGATGGGTCTTCCCATACACGTTCTGACCAGGTTTCAAACCAAATGGTATCTGAACTTCTTGTGAAAAGCGAATGTGATGAAATCAAAAACATTTTAGTAGCAGTAGATGAGGGGCATGATGAACCAAATGCAAAGAGAATGTGAGTCCTCCTTTCATGAGTAAAGAATGCCTCATCCTTCTGTTATAAAACAAGAAGAAAAACTGTAGAGCAACAAAAATATGATCTAATTCAGTTACTGTGATGCAGGAAGACAGCAGTTGAGACACTAGCTTCATCACATGGCACAGTTGCCGAATCCAAGATTGTTCTGCAGACAAGAAGTGAAGTTGATTTCTTAGATGACGGGTACAAATGGCGAAAGTATGGGCAGAAGGTGGTAAAGGGGAATCAGCACCCAAGGTACTTATAGTCTACATATTTTCCGCTGCAAGATTTTTCTCAATCTTACGTTAGTCACTGTTCTGTCTATGAATCTTATATTGCATAATGTTTATTATACTAAAGAACTTGTGTGTGCTTGCTAATTTCCAGGAAATGATGCTAGCTTATCTCCTTGTCCTATTGAAATATGCCAAAACCCATAGTTTAGAAACATTGTCTATCAGGATTTTACAAACTACTATAGTTCTTAAATGGACACGTGTGAAGTCTGATAGAAGAGGAAACTTTACACTGCGCTTAACAATCAATCAGGCCATGTTTTCTGGCTCTGATTTATAGTAATTTTGTTGACGGGCATAAGACTAATGATGAACACTCTGGAACTGCAGATGCAAGTTGTAGGACTAACTTTTTTCAAATAATATAAAAAGGAAGACTGTAAAATATAGTTAACTTTGAAGTTGCGGGTCATCAATTTTTTTTGTTTCTTTTTAATTCCTGGATTTCATTCTTGTTAATATGATGTGATATTTTTGGTGACGTGTGGGCAAAGACAGTCATAGTCTTCTAAAGGTTTTATTTGCTACCTGATCACCAAATTAGATCACTTAGTTTCTGAGCTCATGTTTATGATAGGGGATAATAAACCACAAAAGATGGAGGGAGGGAGGGGGCGGGGTCTTCCTTTCTAAGCTACTTTTTGCTTTTGCTTGTGTCACTTTTCTTTTCTTTTCTTTTGCGTGTGTCCAAGTAGCTATGACAAAATTTCATCCTGATAAATCTGTTCAGCATCAAGAGAGACAAAATGTAAGTCTGGTTCAGCTGGAAAATAAATAGAAAAGTGATTCTCGGTTGTAGGCACATCTGGTATTCCCGCTCATGATCCTTTGTTAGTTTTGAACATGAAGAATTTGATGGTAACAATTCAGTAATGGCTTTTGTGATTATTAATTTGGCCTGTCAGATTTTGTTTTTGAAACCTCTTGGACAATGCAAGATATTGGATTATACCATACACTATATGATAGGGCAGTGGAAAAATTACAATGAGTAATTTTAAGTGAAAGCATGTGGCAGAGTTGAGAAAGTTTTATTTATGCATCTGATAATGCAGACAAGTGTTGTTTATGACTTCCTTTTGAGATTAGAACTAACTGCTAGAATCAGTTGCAATATCTAGTTTGAGCACTTGGTAGTTCTTTGTCTTTTCAGAATATGTTTTCACATGTTACTGTTGAACATTTCTAAAACATGTGTCTTTCCTGGAACTGGCCATTTATTTGATTTCTGTTATTTCTTGAGTTGAACAAATCATCCCCTTATGCATCCAAACTTGATATACAGGAGTTATTATCGGTGCACATATCCTGGATGCAATGTCCGCAAACAAGTAGAGAGGGCTTCAACTGATCCAAAATCTGTCATAACAACCTATGAAGGAAAACATAATCATGACATTCCCACTCTTAGGAATAGAAACAGCCAAAGATAGTACTCAGCATTGCAAGGTAAAAGATGGTTGGCTTCGAGGCCTTTAATTCACAAAGATATTGATTTTGAAACAACAATGAGATATCCATGTGTGAAAGGATTGCAGCATAAATTGCATTACCGAAAAAGGGTGAAAGGATACTAAGATTGCAGCATAAGTAGAGCATTACCAAAGGTAAAAGAGTGAAAGGATACAGGATTGAGCTGCTAACTTTTGTACCAAATAGTCGGTCTTTTCTTTCGAAAAACCTCATGCTTGGTACCCATGAATCTGTTGGTGGTTCTCAATAAATATTTGTAAATTCTATGCTACTTTCTGAAGTTATCTGATATATTGTTAAAGTAAAGAAGGTTGTAATAGCTTGTCCTTGCCATTTAAGCTTCTTCTGGTCAGCTTCAAACTCTAGACCAGCAGAGTACATAAAGCCTATTCAAGCAAAGTTGTCAACTTTTGATACCATATTTTTACCTTGTAAATTCAAACTTATATTTCGTTTGCATCTCTTGATCGATCTCCTTAAAGCTGAGTCTATTTTACTTTTCAGTTTATTTCGAAATGTTTTCCAACTAAGGATGAGAATTCATAGAACGAAGTGGATGCTACTATTAGCTATCACTTTATAGCTTGTTTGTTAGGGTTGTTGGCAGTTATGATAATTTTGAACTCTAACTACAAGAAATAAATTATGGGTCTCTTAGAGTTGCTGGCTTAACCTCTCAGAAGGACGATCTAAATTTCTATTTTTTTTTTTTTGATAACTCAGAAATCTGTCTGGTTCTTGATGGTTTGACCAAAGAAGCTGCAGAAAGAAAATATTTACTCATACCTAGTGTTTAGACCAGCTCAATAAATACACAACATGTATCTTAACATACACTTTTATGACTCAACTATAGTTAATTTCTCACCTTAATTTATCACTTAACCACTCGATAAATTCGGTTTGTCTATTGTGCAACTAGGTGGCACAGGATAATATATCCTCCGTCCTTAAACTTGGAAAACTTATAAGTATATGAGGCCACAGATCATGTCTACCTCTTTTACAAATTTGCCTTGATAGAGCACCCATAAGAAAAAGAAGAAAAAAAAACAAGTTGAAATTTAATATCTTTGATATATGCGACATTGTTATGTAGCTCATTAACTAAATGTCTAAATTCATACATTGGCGTTATGGTGCATATTATAAATCTCGTCCAATATTGCTATATAGCTCGTGATGTATGAATTTAGTTAATCAACGGGAATAATTGCTTGGAAGAGTGTTAGATCGGGTGAATGAGCCTTGTAAGTCGTAAGATCGTGGTATATTAATATACTATTATTTTAAAAGAGTTTAAGTTTTACGGGAAGTGAAGAATGCGTTACACAATAAGGTTAAATATATAACAACATAACTCTTTATTACAAATTTAATATTGCAATCCAGAAAATAAAATAATAATTTACTGTAACCAGCTAAAATAGTAGTAATTATATTCTGTGTTTCCGTCCAAGTCTGAACAATTATTGGTATCACTAGTAAGGGATAATCCATGATGCGCATGGGCACTATTACCAAAATGTTGGAGCCATAAAAATATGGGGAAAAGACAAGACTACCTATAAAAGTGAAATTATTTACCCTCCCCTACCCATTAAAGAATTCTACCCACTAAATAATTACAATTCCTATCCATTTAATAAATAAACGACAGTAACAAAATAACTACCCACGCTTTTAATGCCCTACGTATATAAACACAGAAGCTGCTCAAAATTTTAGAAAATTAGCGCACAAACGTGGAAAAACGCAGAAGCTCTTCAAAATTTCAGAAAATTAGCGCACAAACGTGGAAAAACGCAGAAGCTCTTCAAAATTTCAGAAAATTAGCGCACAAAATTGGGATTTCCACTGATCGAAGAGTAGTAAGTGTGAAAAAACAGATCGAAGATGCTGATTCGGATTTTAATTTCGCTGTTCTCTTCAGATTTTGATTTTGCTGTTGGTTTGATTTTGATTTCGGAGCTAAACTTTTGAATTTTAGCTGAAAATTCTAATCTAAGTTTGGAGATCTGGAGATCTAGATGTTTGATTTCGCTGTTGTTTTGTTGAAATTTCGAACACTGTTGAAATTTGCATTGTTGAGATTCAATTTTGGACATAAAAGTGATTACAACTTTAGAATCATGGAAAATATTCCAATTCTGCTGCAACATAGTGGAGAATGGGATGATAACAATAATTTCATAAATTTTCATGTTGATGCAATTCTAATAAAGACCTATTGGAAATTTGAACAACTTCTCAGAGAAATTACAAAGCAACTGCAAAAGGACAGTAAAACAATAGTTATTCAGTATGATATTGCTCAAGGATATCCACCAATTACAATTTGCAGCGATATGAGTGTTAGTGTTTATATGGAATTGAAAAAATCAAGTGCAGGGATGACAACACTTCCCCTATGTGTGTCGTTTGCTAATAACACTATAGCTGCAAGCACCTCCAGTTTCGATGTTGCTCCAATTTCACCAGAAATTGCACAATTTGAAAGCACTAATATGATTACTACGTTTGATGTGCAAGAAGGAGATGATGCCATTTTAGAACTTGATGATGCAAACATCATAAGTGATCAATTTCATTAAAATGTTGAAAAAGGACAAATTTACGAAGACAAGAACCTGTTGGCTCTCGTTATGAAACAGTGTGCTGTTACAGAAAAATGTCAATATCGGGTTCATAAATCATGCCCAAGAAGGTCCGTCTGCATGTTTTCAAGTAAAAAAACTATGTGATACCTATATAGTATATAAGTATGCTTAATCAGTATACTATGAGAGTATGGAATTGTATTGGTTTGTCTGTGTTTTTTATCAGTAATACTGATATAGTATATAAGTATGTTATATCAGTATACTATGCGAGTATATAACTGTATTGGTTTGTCTTTNAATATGATAAATGGCCCCGGGCGCATTCCAAGGCAAATAGAACCATGACCATGACATCGAATATTGCGGAATCAGTAAATGTAGCAAACAAGCACGCAAGAGACCTCCCAGTTGTGAATTTTCTTGACTTTATGACAACATTGATTCAAAAATAGAATTACACCAATCGGAAGGATGCAGTGGAATCATTTATGAAGATTGGTGCAAAGTATGAAAAAATATTGGCAGATAATACTATCTTATCACAGACGATGACGGTATGCATTTTCAAAATCATAAAAACACTGCATGTACTGTATTTTTACTTTTTTACCTTAGTGATTTCACTAAACAACTGAATATTGTTATTTAAAAAATACTATTACTTCATATAACTAATGACTTTTCTTAATTAAAATTATACTATGTGTTGCTATCAACTGAATTCTTACATTTAGTAATTGATGGCCAAACAAGAAATGTGGTGCGCCTACATGAAAGAAACTGCACTTGTGAGAGGTTTCAGCTAGATGATATTCCATGTCCACATGCAATGGCAGTTATACAAAAATTCCATATGGATTCATACAAGTATTGCTCGGATTACTACAACATAGACTACTTGCTGAAAACATATGAGATACCAGTAAATCCATTGCCTGATGAAACAACGTAGCAAATTCCAGAACATGTCTCTTCGCAGGTGGTACTGCCACCAAAAGGAAATATCAAACCAGGAAGACCTAAAAAGAAGAGAGGCATAGGAGGCTGGGAAGGAAATACAATTACATGTGCACTATGCGGGAGAAAAAGACACAACCAGAGTACATGCCGAAATATTCCAATGAGAGATTGATATAATGCTTCAATGTTTTTATACAACTCATATATTGTAGAATCATAAAATTTGAATAGCAAAAAATAAAATGCATTTCTTGCACTGGACATATATTTGGTATGATAATTCTTTGCGAAATTACTTTTTGGCAACAAATTTATATGGCTACTTGTATTTTCAATAAGAATATGTTTATTTTCTATTTTAGTATATAAAAGTGGGATGCATTTACATCTAGTTGCTGCAGGAAAAAAGATGCTAAAATATATCTGTGATACCTTATTGGTATATCTGTATACCTTATTGGTATATCTGCATACCTTATCAATATCAAAATATGTGCAGAAATAGAAGTGGTGCACGCTTTGCAGCTCATGTCTGTATTGAACTATAATAAATTGGAAGCCATTTACATGCAGTTATTTGTGCATCATCAGGTGCATTAATACAAGGTGATACCCAATGTTATATTTGTATACCTCGTTGGTATATAGTGGTATTGCACTAATATGGCTAAAACAAAATATGCGCAGAAATATAAATGGTGCACCAGATACAACGTGATACCTAAAATGCGCACACTTTGCAATTCATGTCAGTACTTACATCTAGTTGCTGCAGGAAAAAAGATGAGTCCAATACAACGTGATACCCAAATGGTATATCATTATACCTTATTGGTATATAGTTCTACTACACTAATACACCATCTATGCTAAAACTACAGATGAACATTAAAGCTTAGACCATCATCACATTCGAAAGCAGATCATTTAACTTCTGTCACAACTACTTTGTATGTTGCTGGAAGTGTTCACTTCATTTGCCCCTAATTTTCACTTGCTGAATCCATTGAACCTTATCCTCTGGCAAAGGAATGGACCTCGGCATACTAATAAACCAACAACTTTATGGAAGAAGCCTAAGAAAAGCCTAATAACAAGCTGAAATCAGAAACAAAATCAGCAAATTTTCAGCATCAAGAGACATAACTATACTGATAACCCCCATGTACTTGAAGAAATCTATTACCACATATTTTGAACCAGAATAATTAAATATGACAAAAGAAACATTAGCAGCTGGAAATATTTTATAAAGGCACAAGTTTCCTACAGTCTTGAATCAGCAGAAGGTCATTTGCTACTAATAATACCATACTTCACCAAAAACTATTAAAATCTTGAAAAGTTTTCATGATACAATTAACTAAAACCAAAAAGAGACCTATACCACTTCTTGAGTTTCTTTCCACGAGTCTTTTTAGGTGCTACTGGAGCCTCAGATTCACTTGATTCGCCATGCAACTGCTTGTTCCTCCCATAGTGCCACAACAGTATACCAAACCTAGCTCGAAGACCATCCACATCAAAATTGGCAACAGGGATTGGAAGATCTTCAATAATATACTCTGCAAAGCAAGCAACATATACTCCACAATCTCTGAAATAAAACAAATGAATAGAATATAAAAATCAATTAGAAGTGAAAATGTTAATATGAATGAGGAAAACAAAGTAAAAAAAAAGTAACTATTCTTACGAATTTTGCTGTGTTGGCAGATTTGTAATCAGTTCAATATCAAAAGGATCAGTCAACTTCTTTCCCATGTGCAGACCATTTTCTACTACAATGTCACTTCTTTGGTTATAAAATTCAATACTAACTAGAAATAGGGGGATCAACACAGCATAAGCCTTTGCCACTTTCTGAATAACTTTCTTGTGCTTTCGACTATGTAGCGAGTCATATACATAAAAACATCTCTTGTGGAATGACACACACCCCAATATCCAATGCCAAATTTCTGCCAAATTAATTGGAAAAAGGACATGATCAACCTGGTGCCATGGAGTGTTGCAATGCATCCTAAATCCTTTCATGTACTCCATGATATCGTCTGATCTATCAATCAAATGATCTTGTTTCCCACCTTTTACAAATTCTGTGAAAACCCTTTGAATGATATTATTAAAAAGAGTATCTGTAGTTTGTGACTTTGATTGGCATATTAATTCCATATTTCGCCTTCTTCCTAAGATAGTAGAATATAATATTCAAGTGCTGCAAAAAAGAGAGGAAGAAAACATGACTACCACTAACAATATGAATGAACTACTACAACAACAAAAATAAAAAGCAGTACACATACCGAACTAGAGAGCGGCCTGCCAGAATAGTTTAAGGTATGGAAAAACGTCTTATCATCAATCTGTTCAACTTCAAAGTCAAAACAAGGCTCTAGCTTTTGATCACCAGGTAAATACACTTCCCTATTTCGTATAAAAGAAGATATGGATAAGAAATATAACAACAAACATTAAGAAAAAATGAAAACAAAAGTACATGGAAACGAATACGCACTCTCCCAATTGCATATTTGCTTCAACAAAGTTTGAGAATGCAGTCGTAAGCTTAAAATCAACCGTCTCTGAAATGTCATTTACAAATGGAAATCTTCCTTTGATAACCTTCGAGGATCCCCCAACTGCACTAACACCAGATTGCCAGTCATTCCTATACGGTGACTGTTTTACAGCTGCGGGGCGCCTTTTCCGTGTTAAAACTGCAGGAGTAGTTTCAACATCTGTTTGTATCTGAACAATATTTCTTGATACCGACTGATCAGGTTTAGACTTATTTACAGCACGAGTTGTCAGATCATTTCCAGATTGATTTACATTACGTCTCCCTCCTTGTGTAATGGCAGCAATTAGATCAAGTTGAGAATCAGTATATTCAAAATCAGAATCCAAGTGAAGATCACCCCCGTGTCGACATGGAGCTTAAATTAGAAAATGCTAGTGAATAAATAAATATACAAAGTTAAGAAATTTAGAAAAAAAGAATGAAAAGTTATATATAGAAGACATTACCAGAAGGCAAATTCACATTACTTCCACCAACATCCACTTGACCAACACCATCAACCCGACATGCTAAACACATAAAAGCATTATCAGCATCACTACTTAAATAAAAAATAAAAAACTATCAAGAACCTATCATTTACATACTAACTACAGAATTAGTAACATCAACATCGTACCCTGTGGAGCAGTATTAGACTCAATAACAATATTTGCTCGTGTCTGTACAGGGATTCCTGATGGCAGCGGAGCAGGACCCGACTTTTTAACATCATGAGATGACTGCTTATATGTTGCTTGTTGTGTAATAGCGGTAATTTGATCAATTGCAGATGCAAATAGTTCAAAGTTAGAATCCAAACCAAAATCATGCTCATTTACGAAGGGGGCTGAAAAAAGTTTTTTTAAAAAAAGGTTAGTCAATGCACAAATACATAGAGTTAAATAAATAAAAAAATAATCAAAAATTACATATACAACATTTTACCAGAACGCAAATCATCATCCTGTTGCTTGTGCTGAAAATGAGAAACTAACAATTTTAGTCTTATGTATATTACAAGAATACTATGTGCACTAAAAGTAAAGAATGGAATAGTATCCTATAAGCATATATTGCATCTTTGAACAATATACTATAGCATTATATTATATAAAAGATGAATACCGCTGAATTTCCCTCTGGTTTCACTGACTGCCTACCAATAGCTGCAAGCACCTCCTCAAACTTGTTCTCTACAAAAAGCTTCAAAGCTTGTAACTCCTTCATTACCTCAGCATTGGTAGGTTGGGAATCACCTCCAGTACTTTCAGGCATACTTTGTGTCTTTGGTAATTGAGTGCCAAAAACCTGAAAGCTATCGGGTTGGCTGTCAATGCACTCAACTTCAATTTCAAAGCTTAGAACATGCACATCAAATTGTTTCTTCTCATCATCAGTTGGGGTGATGTTCTTTAGCTGCAATTATTAAGCACACTAGTTAGAAATAGAAATGATAATAAAGTATGAAAGAAAAAAGATCCATATTACCATATGATACCAATATAGTATACATGTATACCAACAGAGTATATCACTGAACTGGGATATAGTATACATGATACCAATATAGTATACATGTATACCAACAGAGTATATCACTAAACTGGGATATTGCTACAACTGTGACTAAACTAGTGTACCAAAACATTAAGAGAGGCAATAAAACTATGAGAAAATTACCTGCTTGCGTTGCAAGCTACACATTTGCAAAGCAACTCGCTCATTCGGGATTTGACCCATGACTGCCCATTTCAAAATTCGTGGAAGTTTGTTGTTTCCAAGATGATCAGCAAAGTGACCATCCAAACTTGGGCAGCATTCATACAACCAAGTCTGTAAAGCCAACGGGAAGCCACCAAGTCTATAAAAAGAAGGCTTATCTTGAAACTTGTTGGAACACGAGTCAATTGTAGCTTTATAAACATCTATACCCCAGGGATAATTATTAAAATCACCAGACTCAACCAAGTCAATGTAAGACCGTGAAATAGCCTTTGTTTTGAGTTGAGAAAATAAGAAGTTGTTGACAAAATACAGAACTGCTATCTTCAACGCATCATCATCCGTTTCCCATTTCTTCTTCTTAAAACAGTCTGCTAGTTGGGCAAATGTCACGGATGCAGTCCCAAAATATTTTGAAATCAACCTATTCTCTGCTATGCTCTCTATACTTGTACCACCCTTACATTTCAACCCAGTAACAAGTGCAAATTCACCCAAGCCAAACCGCAACCTAGAATCATTCACTACAAACCGCATCTCATTTTTAACCTCATGATGTACTTCTCTCATAAGCAAATGGTGCATAACACGAATCTGCACAATCACTGGTGGCAGATCCAAAAAATAGCCAAAGCATGTTTTCTTAAACAGTCGAAGTTGCCGCTTTGATAAATTCGCTTTCAATTGATGAATAACATGGCAATTGGTATCCCAATCAACCTTTGGTTTATAATCTAAGTCAATAGGCACAAGAAAATCCCAACACTACAAAACATGTTCATATAAAATAATTTCAGAAATAGAATTCACTTAAAATGCAACTAAACCAACTAAAAATATCACAACTACCATACGATACCAACACGACATATAATTATACCAGCAGGGTATACAATTATACTGACTAATTTCCGGCAACTACAAATGACTATACTACTATTACATAACAGATAGGAATAAAGAGAAAAAGCAAAAAGGAATGCAGCTATAAAGTATTTTCAAGATATTGTACGATACTACTATTATTAAAGGAAAAACAAATAGCGAAGACAGCTAAAAAAAGATCCAGAAGCATATGATAGTATATAGCTATACTAACAGGGTAAATAGTTGTACGGGGTTGTTCCAACAACTGTCTATAACTATAAAAACTATCACATAACACACATACACTATGTCTATAGGCACAAAACTTCTATGGGAAACATCATGCGTGCCATTGCCACTGCAACAAAACACCAGTTACGCAACAATCGGATAAAGAACATAAATGCAATTTTTTAGAAGAACTATGTCAAATAGCATTGCCTCCCCCTTCCAGACTCAAGTACTATGTCAATCATGTAACTGAGTACCTGGCATCTTTTTTGTATACTACTTAGCACCAATTCAACAAATCATTTTCATTAGAAAATAAGTCAATCATGTCCTAACTTATTACTTAAGGTTAAGGGATTCTTCAGATGTTTCAAAAGGGACAATGGGTGTTATTCAGAAAACGCCCCATACATGATCACTCTACCCCGATGCCTGCCTATAATCAATGCCAGTGGTGGTCACCAGCCAAGGCCGTGGGGCTTCTGCACATTGACCCCATCCACACCATGCCACCTATAAAGAAAAGCTCATTCTGCACACATAACTTACACGGTCCCATTCCTTCCATACTTGCTTCTCCCCACCACTATCAACTGGCCTAAATACTAGATCACGTACAAAATCATCTAATGCAAAGCTGAAAATCAGAAATCACACAGAGCAGCTCTGGCTTCAATAAATTTGGTTGACAACAACAGCTACTGATTGACAGCACTAGTGAATCAGCGACCATTTTTTTAAACCTCAAGCAGAACACTAATGTAATATGTCTATTTAATTCAAAAAATTAACACAACTGACTATAACTATAATATAATACAAAAGCATAATAAGAAATCAAAAAATAACAATGTACTATACATTAAAAATCGCAAAGATCATAATTGTAAGAAAATTACCTTCTTGGGTGCGACACCAATTTTTCTCTTCTTTAACTGAGAATCATCGCTACAATCAACATCTACTGGTTGAATCTCTGATTCAGGCACGGATTCACGTCGGCTTCCCCCTAACTCAGAATCCTCAACAACTTTACCTTTTCCCTTATCAGTCACAGGAACATCTTCTATGACTGGTTTGGAATTTGTATCGGGTAATGACAGGTAGGGAGTTTCATCAACTAACGCGGCATTAATATTTTTTCCTTTTCCACCCTCTAATTCTATATTTTCAGTTGTGTTTTCAACATGATTACTGCTAGGGTTACGACTAAGTGGAGACTGAGAATCAGAAAATAAGGAAAAACTAGGCCCAGACATGGCTGAGGCAACGGATTCAGCAACTACTTCTTTTGAAGAATGATATTGTCCAAAGAGCCACCATCTACGCGCACAACTCTTCCGACCCATAGAGAAAACAACAACCCATAGACATTGATTCACAAAAGTACAAAGGAAAACATAAAAATCCTATGATTTTGAAAACCCACTTTCACTAAAATGTACTTTCAGAAGCAAAAAATTCACCCAAAGCAAAAATGTCACCCAAAATTAGGTACTAGACGAAGAGATAGAACGGAATCGGAAGAAAGAAATTACAACTCGAATGTGTTTCACTTTTGCGTTCTCATCGGTTGGCTATGGAGTTATGGAAAATTTACTCTGTTAACTGATAGAGAAAGAAGGAAAACATGGGAATAATGGGCAGAATGGGCTGGATCGAAGATAAGGGAGAGGTGGGTAGATTGGGCCGAGGTCGGGTAAATAGATTGGGTCGACTGGGTAGGCAGGGTAAATAGTTTGGGGATGGGTATTAAAAGGTAAATATTTTGGGCCTAATAGGTATAAAGTGATATTTTCTCTAAAATATGTTTGGTAGAGTTAGATCATCACCAAAAAATACTAAAGTTAATTTTCAATCATCTAAAGTTATTAAGAGATCATATTTTTATTGGTCCATCTGTTACTTGAAAATTAAAGTTTAAAAGGAACTTGTTTCATGATCATTGTCATGCCCTGGGCCTGAACGTAATACGGTACTCGGTGCCTAATTACTGTGATCGAGCGAACCAACTGGCTGACTGAATCAACATGTAATATCATAACATACCGAAAGTGAAAGGTAAAATAACACATGTTGATACACTGAATGTTTGAATGATATAAATTAATGTACGAAAACACTAACATAAGTCTGAAGTATATTTGTAGCTAACATTGCATCACATGAAAAGCCTGTGACTCTGTTTAACTGTTACTCTAGTCTATGAAACCTCTAATAAAGTACTAAAAACACTGATTGTCTGAAAAAAGGTAATGATAATACCCGAAAGAATTTGGAATCACCAAATAGCTGGTACGAGAATAGCACTCTGAATCATCAACCTGTAAATCATTACCTGCATCGTGAGATGTAGGACCCGGGCAAAATGGACGTCAGTACATTTGAATTGCACTGGTATGTAAAGTGTCACGACCCAAATTCCACTAAAGCTTGTGATGGCGCCGGACACCGATGTCAGGCAAGCCAACCAAAATACTTAATTAAATTCTCGTTTTAATAATTTTGAAAACTATGAATTTTCCTTCAATTTCACTAGTAAAAGATAATCTTTACAAAGTAAATAAAAGAATGTTTAGAAGTAAATACAAGATACCCAATAATCATCCCAGAACCCGGTGTCACAAGTGCATGAATATTTACTAGGAATGAAATAAAATACAGTAACTGTCGGGAGTACAAAGTGGACAGAAATGAAAATACAGTACAATACTCTGAAGGGGACTCTGCTGGCTGCGGGTCGTCTCGACAAATGCAGCTCACCTAATTCTCCGTCAACCATGCCACTATGCCACTATGCCACTAAGCCACTAGCCACACATGAACATGTGCAACAAAATGCATAGCAAGTGTAGTATGAGTACGTAAACAATGTGTACCCAGTGAGTATCCCGTCTAATCTCGAAGAAGTAGAGACGAGAGATCGACTTCGACACTTACTAGTGGTCCAATAGTAATATATTATTATTATGAATAATCATGAATTTATTAAAAACGACAATAAATTCAAATAAGTCATGAAACGGGTAAACGTTCCTTTTTATATTGAAAGTCTCCAAATTCATAATCTATTAATTATTAATTTATCTTGAGTCAGGGAGAGCAAATATCAATTTCTATAAATCTCGAGGCAAGCAATACAAGCATGTGCAAATCATGCCGAGGTCGTACTGACCGATCCAACCATATTTAAAATGTGACTGCCAGAGTGTCGAATGACGCGAACCATAGATGCATCTATTTAATCTACCGAGGCATTCGACCCGTTTCGAAATTAAACACACACAAACAGTCAATCAAGAAATCAACAGGGAACAATTATCCAAGGAAAAACCAATTCTCTTTTAACAGTTTAAGAAAATGAAGTTTAATCCTTTTTAGAAATTTATTTACTAATTCGATGTGGTTTAAGCAATTCAAACTGTCTATTAGATTACAATTATTCCAAGTATAGCATGCTTTGTCCTAAACTACCCGGACTTAAACATAATAGTATCTACGCACGGACTCTCATCACCTCATGCGTACATAGACCTCACAATTAGAAGCACAAATCCAATTAATTCACCTATGGGGACAATTCCCTCTTACAATGTTAGAAAGGAGACTCATCTCGCTCCGTAGATCTATACCCGGCATTCCACGCCCTTCCGAAGACTCGAATCGATGCACAATGCTCCAAAACTAGCCAATAATTATGCAAATCCATTAATATATGTTCAATTACCCCTAATGATCCAATTTATAACAATTCCTAACCCTGATTGAAAAGTTGACAAATACGCCCTCGGGCCCACGTGCCCGGATTCCGAAATTTTTCGAAGATTAAGTTTACCCATAGCCTCACGAACTCAAATATATAATTTACTCCCAATTTCATACCCAAAATCGTGGTCAAAATCCAAAAATATAAATTCTAGGTCTTTTCACCAAAACCCCAAGTTTCTACCAATTTTCATACTTTAATCCGCAGTAAAACCATGTATTTAACTTACAAGAGGTGGGATTAACTTACCTCATGTTTGATGATGAAGTTCCTCTCTTCAAAGGCTCCAAAATCACCTAACCCAAGTGAAAATGCGTGAAAAATGTGCCAAAACTCGTTCTTTAAAGAATACACTGCCCAGTCTGACCTCTCGCACCTGCGGTCGACCCTTCTGTGGTCCTCCTCCAGCTTCCCCAAACCGCTTCTGCGCTGCCCAGACCGCATCTGCGACCTCGCATGCGGTTCCAATACCGCTTTTGCGGTCCTCCTCCAGCTGCCCCAAACCGCTTCTACGCTGCCCAGACCGCATCTGCGACCTCGCAGGTGTGGGAAATCTATCGCACCTGCGGTTTTTGACCCATCCACTTCCAGCCGCTTCTGCGGGTCACCCCTACTCCTACGGGCCCGCACCTGCGGTGCTCCTCATGCAGGTGCGGTTACACTAGAAGCCCAGCTGTTTCAGCCCTTCCTCCAATTCCATTTTCGATCCGTTGATTATCCGAAATCCACCCGAGGCTCCCGGGACCCCATCCAATCACACAAAATAGTCCCAAAACACATTACAGACTTGCTCGAGGCCTCATATAAAACAATGCTAAAATCATGAATCAACCTCCAATCCAAGCTTAATGAATTTTAAAATTTCAAACTTCTACATTCGATGCCAAAACATATCAAATCACGTCCGATTGACCTCAAATTTTGCACACAAATCACATTTGACATTACGGACCTACTCTAACTTTCGGAATCAAAATCCGACCCCGATATCAAAAAGTCCACTTCCGGTCAAACTTCTAAAAAACTTTCGAATTTCTATCTTTAGCCAAATGACTTCAAAATGACCCGTAGACCTCCGAATTCACTTCCGATCGCGCTCCCAACACCAGAATCACCATACGGAGCTATTCCCATACTCGGAATCCCAAACGGACATCGGCAACACTGAAATGCACTTCAACCCAAACTTATGAAATTCTTCCAAAAATGCTAACTTCTATAATAGGTGCTGAAATGTTCCCGGGTCTTCCAAAATTTGATCTGAACATACGCCCGAGTCTGAAATCATCATACGAACCTACTGGAACCTTCGAATCCTGATTCCGAGGTCGTTTACTCAAAAATCCAATCTTAGTCAATTCTTCCAACTTAAGGCTTTCAAAATGGAAATTCTCTTCCCAAATCAACTCCGAACTTTACAGAATTCAATTCCAACCACGCGTACAAGTCATAATACCTAAAGTGAAGCTGCTTATGGCCTCAAACTGTTGAACGACGTGCTAGAGATCAAAACGACCGGTCGGGTCGTTATATTCTCTCCCACTTAAACATACGTTCGTTTTCGAACGTGCTAAGAACTGTGCTGGAGTTATCTGAAATCATTGCTTAACACCTCGTGCACCTACCCGTGCTACCACAACTCGGTTGAGCACATTAACTTAATCAAATCTGAAGATGTTCTCTTTTATTCAAACAAATAAGCTTAGAGCCCAGTTCCAACATTCGGAACTCTCTGCCAGGCCTACTTACAACATATGAACACCGCATCAATCACCACACGATGCAGCGATATAAGATTGCATACCTTTGCTGAATTCACACTATGCCCTGCACAACTTACATAATATCCTCTGATCATAATTAGTCGAAATTTCATGAATCTGACACTCCCAATGCATATCACGACCCACATACATCTTGATCTAACTCTTACAATACCACCATGATGGAAGATGCGCGTAGAAATTCATAACCAACTGCCGAGTCAATAATTCATTGAGTCTATAACCTTGACAAGAACCATCACCTCATTCTGAACCAAATAATGGTATTTGCCCTTTAATATTCTTCATATAATCCGATTGCACTGATCTTAGATCCAATAATCTCATCTCACCCAGTACGAACTGCTCAGCAAATAAGCCAGTCAAACATGACCAAAAGTCTCATATGATGCCACAATGCCAATAGGCTACCAACTCGAACGTAATACAAAAAGGAAATGAACTCTGGAAGGGACTACTCGACTCACGCACTAATATGAACTTCCCTCAGAAAATAGGAAACAAGACACACAAAAATAGGATATAGAAAGCTGTATTCAACATCACACTGTTGCAGCGTGTAACCCGATCCAAATAACATACCCGTGGCGGCGTGCCACCCGATCCATACATAAAATTCACATAAGGAGATACACATCGAGCTAAATTGCTTGTTACAACAAAATACTGAATATCGGTCACAAGCACGCTAAGTGCATAATACCAACCCCGGAGAGACGTATAGCGCCATAAGCTACAAAACTCAAGCACAACTGATGTGCGATATATGATCTGAATCTCAAGAGCTATCTTGCTCATATGACACCATCGCTACGCGAAACTTCAACACATAAGAAATTTATCAAGCCATTTCACAACTCACACGGCACAATGTAGCATAACTAGAAATAGTGTAGCATTACCAGAAATAGCCTACGATGAAATAGCATCCAACGTCCGAATACTCCTCCACAAGGAGAGATATGCTTAAATGGACACCTCCGGCCTGACATAGAGCCCATATTCATATTTAAATCCATCCAAAGACCTCAAGCCGATTCTGATCGCATGGAACTAGGCTAATAACCTTTCACGGGTCCATAATAACCCCCTTTTCCCATAACACACAAGATCAACCATCATAACTGGAGCAATCCTCCATAGTCCACAACTTAATAAACCAAGTGCCCTGCAGGCATAAATTCTCAAATTAATGATATCATCACTATCTTCATATTTGGTTTAATTCTTCAATTAATCATGTGACTACATGCCACACTTATACAATCTTCCCGTGGGACACGCTCCCACGACCTTCCGCACTAGATAACAAATCTGACACCCTCACCACCGACCGTACCATGCTATAAAGCAAATCAAGAATCCGTAAATCAATACACGAAGCCTCTTGTATAAGGCACTGATCTCAGGTGACGCTGAAAACAATACCAAATACCAACTTACTTTAAACTTCCAAACTCCTTTCCTACTCATCCGAGCTCGCGACATCCTTATCAATATCGAACCGCAACCTTGATCCTCACTTTCAAATTCCATACCACTCCCCGCATCTAACACACCAATATGCGATAGCACCATAATTTTATCATAACTCCTGGACCACTGATAGATTATGTTAGTTTATATGAGTCCAACCAAACTATAGAGTACCTAGTCCTCTATGAGATAATACGTAGAATGCAGTAAAGACTAAATGTAAATAAGGCAAGAGATTTTCTACGTGGAAAAATCCCACACAAAGGGATAAAAAAACCACGACCTACTATTGTAGGCTTTTAACTCTACTAATTTGTAATCTACCTATTACAAGCCACTTTGCAAACACCCTATTGCAAAGACTTCAAACTAACTTGTGATGCAACCACCACAAGCCACTCTATAACTCTCCTAGTTACAAATGATTTAAACTTATGACTATCCCTAGTCACAACATAAACTCAGAAGTTTACGAATTTGATTTGTTCCTAAGACAAATTTTCTAAGAAAGTAAACTAGGAATTACAATGACGAACAAATAACAAGATTACAACTCAACTATGGATATATAGAAACTGATCCTTAGTGGAGTTGTCTTCTTGTTCTTGACACACCAGTGACTTCAATGCTGGATGAATACTTTTGCTCTTGAGAGAATATCACTGAATGCACAAGAAATGGTGTGTCTTGTGATGTAGATACCTGGAGTTTATCCAGAAATGGTGTATTCTTTGTGACCCCATCTTCACCTTGATTTACCCGGAATACTCTCTACTTGAGTCTTTGATGTAGATACCTGGAGTTTGGTCTTCTGTTCTGCAATGCTTTCCACCAATCAATCCATTCTTCATATTGATCCTCAGAAGAAGATCTCACCTTTTAATGTGTTTGATCCTCTTGTTTTTTGAAATTTCTCTCCAGTTGTTGATGAGGCCATTCCGTTTTGCTTCCTTGTCTCCTAGAAGATGAGGCATGAAACATGACAGGTGAATCGTTCCAAAAATCACTTTTTTCCATAGGACAACATTCTTATCTAGCTCTAGAGTGAAAGGGAGTGATTGACTTGTTACGCAGATGGGAACCTTGGTTTTCCAATTTAAGACATAAGTTGATTGAAGAGGGAGATGTAGAGGTTGATTTGATTTCCCCACACTTTGTGTTCTGCTGCTTGTGCAGTGCCATGAGCTGCATCTTTACTCTTCCTTCAGCTTCAATTGTAGTAGGTGACGTACCGGGTTCTTTGTGAGACGTGGAGGATGCTGCTGCATTGTTCTTAGCCAATCTCCTTCATCTTGCTCATTTTATCATCCTCCCTATTGAAGCCTCAGATATTTCCCAGAGATAGGATTGGTTCATCATATTGATCCTCACCGTTTCTTTCTTGGCAAAGGAGAGTGTCTTGTTGGATACCCCATGAGCACCTCCTACCATTTAGTATTCCCTTTTTAGAGACTTCGTGGTTTTATTTTGTGGATTGTACCCCAGAAGGATTCCTTTGCTCGTCTTTTTGTATTGAGCTTCCCAAGCTGATCCTTCCTATTGTCAAGAACAAGGCATTTTCTTCCATTAGGCAGCTCCTGGTGGATTTTTAATTTAGAAGGAGCCTCGTTCGACACTTGTTCTCAAAGTAGAGAGCAATATTCACTTCTTTTGCCCAAAATTTCTTGGCAATTCCATAGGGATGAGCACTATATGCAGCATTTTTCAGTTCCGTTCTTTTTTTCAGTTACACCATTTTGCAGTGGAGTCCTTGGTATTGAGAAATTGTGTGTGATCCCTTTTCTCCCTCCTCCATCATTTTGTGAACTCATGTCGAGGTGACACTTGAGTTTGGCAAACCACGAACTAGGTCCGACTGAGTTAATTTATTCGGAGGTGAGAAGTTTACATATACCAATCCTTCTTGACATGGTTGCGACTTCACTCATCTCATACGACCAACTTGTGGAGATTCATGATTAGTAGGAGTGAATGTTCTTGTTTCCTTTGTCCATTGAGACCACTTGGCGAGTTATCAGATTGGTGGCTGCACTTTTTAGGCCATTCACATAGTGCTCGTTCCCACTTGAGTGTCGAAAGAACCTTTCTACCTTTTCATTCACTAAGAATGTACTCTTTACTTCCTTCTCAAGGATACATTCCCTTTCTGTAGGGCTTTCAGTGAGAAGAAATTCATGATATTCTTCAGCTGCGTACTTTAAGCATCCAATGTCCATAGTCCATCGCAGTCCGCTTCCTCTCACTATTCCCTTCTCATGCACATCAAGGG